TACTGAATAGCTGTTTCATCCTAGTTTGGAAATCGTTGGCAGTACACACCCACCGCCAGGGTTCAAATCAAGGACCTTCTGGTTACAAAGCATTCAGCCACTGGGACCCGATTCAGTGTTCAGCCCATGAATTCTAACTTCTAACGATTTGTGATTAAGCCCTACCATCAACCAGTGTCATCGGCAGGAACTTTATCGCCACTTTTGACTGAATGAGACTCAGTGGTCACGCCTTCTCTAGGAAACTCTGTCCTTTAGGAAGTTATTAGACAGCATCAGGTTAATTAACCAGAAGGTCGTGGGTTTTAACTCCAGTGGGTGCGTACTGCCGATGATTCCTAAACTAGGATGAAGCAGCTGTGTAGTACTCTCTGGTTTTCATTGGTTCTCTAACTTATATCAACGCGTGATCAAGTCGTTAAAAACAAATCTAATCCTTATAGACTAACTCTTGAATGTACACAAATTTGAAAGCTAATCTACCTGACTAAACTTCATAAATTCTATGTTTTTTATGATCGATTTGTAACAATTAGACTCGCAGTTTCACTTTAAAAAATGACTTTGTTTCACAGAACAAAACACCTTAAATGTATACTGACCTATAAAGGAAAGGTGGAAATTAGGGCGAATATTTACTTCTGATTTTTTTTTCGTTTTTTCCCCATTTTAATGTTAAGCACATAGGAAAACTCCCAGTTGCTTAAATGTGGTCGATTGTTCTTTTAATTAACTTAATGAGAAATTTTTAATGAGTACATGCATCATATCTGTTTGCTTTATTTTTGTAACTCATTACGCAAAAAAGTCAAAAGTACGGTGACATGTATCCATATAAATTGTGTGTTTGTTTGACAGTCTGATATATTTTGCTATGTATATACTGATCGATATTCCATTATAATTAGCCAATCATGTTAAGACTGTCTATCGATTTGTTCATTTTGAATATTCGCTCTCACACTTGTGTTCACACACTTGTTCGGACATTCATATATATTTTTGCTCTCACACTCCTGTGTGACACATTGATTCTCCTTGTGTTTGGAAAATAGAAGTATCATCGCAAACCTAGTGGTCTTCTGCTTTCCGTCTTTCTTGCGTCAGGACTATTAAATTCTCGACCAGTACATAACAATAATTTGGCGACGAGTACATATTATACAGATAAGATATTTTTTATTCTAAAGAACAAACAGCAACATATGATCATCTCATTAGTTGATCAGCTTATTTTTTCGTTGATCAGTGATAGTGAAACCATCAGAGTGATGAAGTTAACAAAGCACACATTTCCATATAACCTAATCATAGAAGTACACTATTTGTAATGGAATAACTGTGTTTTTGGAATATCCCTCCTGTACGATCAGATCACAATATTCATACTTATTTGAACCCTTCAACTGACTGTTTAATTGGTTAGAGGATTTCATCAGCAGCTGACATCAGTTAGAGAACCACTGCAAAACCTGGTAGTACTACACGACTTTTTCGTCAGCCTAGTTTGAGACTCTTCAGCAGTACTCACATACCATCAGGGTTCCAACCAAGGATCTCCTAGTTACAAGGCGAGTTAGCTCGTAGACCATTAAGCCACTTGGACCCAATCCATTGGCCAGTCCATGAATCGTAATTTCTAACAATTCATGACACAGCGTGACCATTTCTCGGTGTCTTCTTCGATGAGTTACTGCCTCGACTTCAACCTGATGTAGCCTACTGGTCACGGCTTGCCACTAGAACCACAGGTCACTGCTTGAATAGAGCCACAAACCAATGAGCATCAGATCAATTTTTCAAGTTCTGGTTTTTGTAGGGATGCTCACTAGTGACTGGCAGTATTCAGGCAGTGACCTGGAGATCTAGTGGGAAGCCGTGATCAGTTGGGTAAAGAAGGTTGAAGGTGAGGCAATAACTCATCGAAGAAGACATTGAGAAGTGGTCACACTATGTTGTAAATTCGCGGAAGTTATAATTTATCGACTACCCATTGGATCGGCTCCCAGTGGCTTAATGATCTATGAGCTAGCTCACCTTGTAACCAGAATGCCCTGGTTTCGAACCTCAATGGGTTGGTACTGCTAAAGAATTTAAAGCTAGGCTAACGCAACAACTCTCCAGTACTCCTAGTTGGTTTTCCAATGGTTCTGTAACTGATGTCACTTAGTGATCAAACCCTGAAATCAATTTTTTCTCTTTCATTATATTTAACGAGCCATAAATACGAAAGTAATCATCCCCACCCCCCCGGGCAATTCATAGTTTTACATGAGTCTTAGGTGGTAAGCAATACTTGCGCAGTCAAAACGACCGACTTATGGTTTAAAAAATTCCTTGCTAAATAATGGTAATAAAAAGAATAGTGACTTTTAATTGACGTCGGTGATTGTAACAATTTATTTTTGACTAGTCATCAGATGTAATCTAGTTATGTTATCTAAAATTTAACCGCAACTTCAAACTAGATAAACTCTGAATTGCCAAATATTTCACAATGTCAAGATAACTTAATCTCATTGGCAATAATCATAGTGATAAATAATATTTGTGGTTATATATATATACATTTATATATGTATATATATATATATATTCACATAGATATGTCTATTCTCAAGTTTGTAGAGATTTGATTTGTCTCTAGTTTGAATACGGATTGATGTTAGCTAGAGAACCATTTGAAACGATCAGGGAGTACTGGACAAGAGTTTAGACCGAGTTTGAGACTCTTTGGAGGTACACTGAGGACCGGCTACAGGATAAAGTTACCTGGAGATCTATTGAGAGGTTGCTACCAGTGGAGTCTACCAGGTAAGGACTGAGGACAAGTACTCGCTGCTGATATAGACAAAACAAATATTTCGATGAAGAGGCTCCTTTTGGTGAATCCACTTCTTTCTTCAGTTGCACAATCGCATTTAAATACAATTATTTATTCTCATGGAGGATTTCATCATGAGCTGACATCAGTTAGAGAACCACTGGAAAACCTGGGAGTACTGGACAGCTGTTTCGTCCTAGTTTGGGACTAATCAGCAGTACGCACCCACCACCACGGTTCGAATCCAGGACCTTCTGGTTACAAGGCGAGCTACCCTGTAGACCATTGAGCCACTGGGACGCGATCCAATGGTCCTTGAATTCTAACTTCTGCCAGTTCACGACATAGCGCGACCACTTCGCAATGTCTTCATCGATGAGTTACTGCCTCATCTTCCACCTGCTGTACCCTACTGGTCACGGCTTTGCACTAGAACCCCAGGTTAACTGCCTGAATAGGGCCAGTCAGTTCATGATTAAATCCTCCATGCAATCAAATAAAATCCCTACAAAACCAATACTTGAAAATTATTTATTCCACAAAAGGGGGGGGGTATTAATAATGGAGATAAGTTGCCATAATCGTAGTTGGCCCTATTCATCAATACATGACAGAATTTGAATAAAGATGTTAGAGTGATAAGGAATATATCAGAACATAAGAATTTAGCTAAGGTAAGAATGGCTGACCCCGAGAAAAGAGAGAAGCTCAGCAAGTGCACTGCATGCATTAACACACAGTCACACAATAGGTTGGGAGAAGGTTAGAATTCTAAGAAGTAATATAGGTAGGTGGAAAGAGAGATTGATTATCTAGTCTACACCCAACACATACAATAGGAATGATTCATCACTCATACCAGAAATATGGGAAATACTACTTCCAGTCAAGTCGAGAGATGAGAAATAATGAAATTATATAAACGAATTTGGAAAGTTGTGTGTTAGTACCTTGATTTAATTTTGAGTACCAATAAATTGTATTCGAAACGCGGTCATCAGTAAATATTACTGCATAACACTGTGAGACGTAATCAAAATAAATTTTAACCATATTGGAATTATACTCTACCACAGTGCACAAGTTCAATTCTTATATCAATATATCAGTTCACTTGTTCCTGTGTTGTCAGGTTTATAGGTCGTTTATCGCATATTTTGTCTAAAGGGCCCCGAGAATACTACTCCTTATGATTTCATGGAGGTAAGAGTGACTACATTCTTTCCGTCTTAATAAACGTCTCCTTAAAAGTAATCTACGGAGTGAAGAGTGTTACTGAAACCATAGTCATCCTAACAGAGAAACCAGACCTATGCAAATGCAAGAAAATTCTTCCACCAATTTCACCATCATGGTAGTGAATCTGTTCTCTCCAACTAATTTCTTGTCTTTTATTTGTCTTAACTGTTTCTTGTTCTTCTAAACCTCGGAACCCTTACGTAATATCATGTTTCCCCTTCTTTCTTACATATACAGTCCGATTACAACTCATCCATTGAATTATTTATCTCATTATGTAACTCCAACACCATTATTCAACTCCTCTCATATAATATTGAGAACTACGATTATGACAACTCATCTCTATTGTTGTTATCTTTCTTTGTAGAAAAAGCTGTATAAAAATGCATTTGTACAGCTAGAGGAAAGGTATCCTCTGAAAGGATCCTCTACGATGAACTACTTGCTTTAATTTTCACTAATGCTTAGATGAAGACAATTCATGATATAACAAGCATTATTATACTTTGCACTCCAGTTTTCACTAGTAGACTGAGTGAAGAAAATGTAATGTTATGAGACTGTCTCTAGTCCAATGACGGACTGATGTCAGCTACAGAACTAATGAAAACCAGGAATACTGAACAGGTGCCTCATCCCAGTTTGTGATTCTTCAGTAGCACGCGCCTGCCGAAGTTCAAACTCAGGATCTTCAGCTAACAAAGCGAGCCCGTAGACCATTTAGCCATTGCAACTCGATCTAATGCCCCATCAATTTCAATTTCTTCTGTATAATAATTCATGCTGGTTTCCTAATGGTTCTTTAACAGATATTGTTCTATGATCAAATTTGAAACAAATCAAATCCCTAAAAATAACTCTTAAAAATTATATAAAATTACCTTCAATTTAAAGAATCGAATTCATCAAAAACAAAATTGAGGAGAAGACTAACCTTCTTGGCCTTTGTTCCATTTCATTCAGCAGTGAATTGTCAATAAACTGAAAGACCAAGTTTAGTCGTTTCTTTTTACGAAATACTTCTATCAAATTAACCAAGTTGGGATGTTTTAAACGCTGAAAGTTAATTGAACAAAATAAGGAATTTGCATAAGAAAAGTACTTGGACTGGTTAATACACACATTTTCACAGCTTTCTTCTTTTTCAGTATAGAAGAAGTTTGTAGAAGACCTTCACCTATAGTGTCAGAGTGATCTGTTCAGAAGATGCCACTGAAGACGGACTTAAAGTTGTATACGACAAGTTTATTGAAAATAGCTACCCTGAAAAGTTCATTACTAAACATACGGTTCAGAGAGTAGGAAATAATTCTTCTCTATCTGTTAACAATAAGCCTGTATATACACGATTACAATTCAGAGGTGATTTATCAAGTGAAATAATAGCTAACAAGTTGAGAAAGTCCATTCAAAGAACATTTAATACCGGTAAGCTGCAGCTTGTATTTATTTTTATTTTTTGATTACAGCTTGATTCCACACTGTATTTTTGGTACAAGTATGGAATTTTCAGCATGGATATCGGTAGCCCAAATTTTGCAAGCCTACCATAGATATCAGGTGTGCGTCGGAGTGAGCTCGAACCCCAGGTCCATGTACATGGTCGGTGAGAGTCCACACACACAACCGATTGTGATTCCGAAACCGGAGGACGAGTACCTGGGTCAGCCACTTCTGATTGTATCTGTCGATTCAAGTGAAGCCTTTCATATAGGCCTTTGCTCTAGGAACTTAATACTTTGTGCTCCGAAACACCTACTTGCCAGTTTGATATAAGAACACCTTGTACAGACAGACCATTAAATTAACATTGAGGAATCTTCTGCTAACTCTGGTTGGGTACTTAATAAACTACCAAAGACTCTGGATAACGAATGCTGCGAACAAAAGAGGCCATTACAATTCGCTTAGAAGTACCCGATATCTGTTTGCAAAACAGATGTCCAGCCACTACTGATTGCTACTGTACAGCTAAGTGAATGAACTCGCCGGAAATAGACTCTCCATAGAACTGTTTCTACTTAATTCCATGTCTGGATGGGTATTTTTCTTTAAATCTTTGAATAGTTGATAATTATTGAGTGAATCCAATTATGATCTCATTTGTATACACATTATGTTTGAAGAAAGTACATACTTCGTAATTGTGGGTTCATTGTTAAGTATCGATCAATAGGGAGCACTTTAGCAAAATATGCATTTAAACGGTTAGTGTCTGAAATATATCGGAAATTTACTCATCTAAATGAAATGAACAAAAGTTATCTTTATTATTCCTTTAAGTTCCCAGGGGAACATAGGGTTTCAAGCTAGAGTCTTCAAGTTTCGGTAGGTGTGGCGTTCATTTTTACGGGATAAGCTTTCCAGCCTTATGTCTAACCTTTCCTCTTTACCAGTCATACTACTGGCTTAGCTAGATAAACGAGTGAGCCAGCCGGGGATAGAACCCGGACCACATGAGGCGTGGCCGGAAAGCATTCTGCCGGTGTGCCACCGACGCACCATAAGGAACCTGTTGCACATTTCTAAATCTATTTTGTAGACCATTTATCCTAGAAACCGATATATTTTACTTACTGCTCAGCAGTAAAACAGAAAAGTCCTCAAATTCCATTTACTAACGAGGTTGAGATACCAAAAATATTTCCAACCAGAAAAAAAGGGAATTAATATACACTGCAAGCAACTTCAATGAGTGATCCTGGAAAAATATTCCACCTACTATTCTATATCCTTCGTTAACATTGACCACTTATTGTCTAAAATCATCTTGTTTCCAGTCTATTTTCAAAATCACTTTTCTATAAGTAACTCACCTTTAACATTCGAATCTCTCTCATTGCAATTTTTCGAATAACTGGATCATCTTCTGATGCGGTGAATTGTTTAATAGCTACTAACTGTCCAGACTTTATATCACGACACTTGAATACAACTCCATAGGCTCCTTCGCCAATTTTGCATATCTTCTCATATTTTTTAAATAATAAATCATCGTATTTTCTAAGAAATTGAGAGAAGAAAGAAAATGAGTATTATTTACAAATGACTGCATAAATTTCTCTTCTTTAGGAGATATTTAGATGATATCATTTTGATATGTGATGATCACAAAGACGCAAGTCGCTTATCAGATAGACTCTGTATAGAATCATATAATTTAATTTAATTTTCGATTACAGCTTGATTCCACACTGTATTTTTGGTACAAGTATGGAATTTTCAGTGTGGATATCGGCAGCCCGAATTTCGCAGGCCTACCATAGATATCAGGTGTGCGTCAGCAGGGGATCGAACCTCGGACCATGTGCATGGTTGGCGAGAGTCCTAACCACTGTGCCACCGACGCACAACATGTGTGGAGGAAAGTTGTAACCAGCTTACATTTTTAGACATACTTCTGAGTCAAAGAGATGATGGTTCAATCAATTTACAGGAAGCCTACTCGGACTGGGCAATACCTTAATTTTCACAGCTTCTGTCCATTACAGTAGAAGAGAGGCTTGGTGAAATGCTTATTTCAGAGGATTCGGCGTATATGTACGGCTGATTTTATGGAGAAATATTAATGGATACTCTTGTTGAAAACGGATATCCCTTAAAATGTTTAATCAGGTGCAGGAGTTAATTAGTCTTTAAACCTATAATCTACACCACCCCTAAGAAAAATGTCTTCATCAAATTACCATATAGCGGTGAAATAAACAGTAGGATTTTGAGACAAAGGTTAAATTCGGTCATCCGTATAACCCATTATGCAGTCCAGCTTGTAATTATCGAAAAAGTCAAAAAATATGCCTCACTGCAAACCTCAAAAGTACACAAGTGATTGTGTCATATCCTAAACTATTTACCACTTTTCGTCTGTCTGTGTGCAGACACACATACATAGGGAGGAGTAACTGTGCTTTGCATGTGAGGGTGGAAGAGCATGTCCCGAAATAGTTAGAAAGACAAATAAATTGTGGAAAACCAATATATATGCAGGTAGCATACTACCAACTTTGTCTATATCCAAACATCTAATCGAGATGAACTATAACACTGCTGTTAACACAGCCTTTAAGGCTATCAATAAAAAAGGTTCAAGGGCGCTTACTGAAATACGCTGAGGCTATAGCTATTCATAAACTTGAATTATAGAATTCAGCCTGCACTAAACGAGGTATGAGACACAGGATATTAGTTACTATCCCATTTGATTGAAAATATCAATTACAGTTCTACAGGAGGTCAACTGCGAACCCCAGTTGGTCATGCGTAAAGTCTCTGACTATATGATGGGTGACCATAGATCGCACCTGAGAAGGGAGATGGATTCTTTCAAGATTGTAGACACGCCATGTTGACTAGTGTTTGTCAACAAGCACAAAACGTAGGTCAAGCTGGGCTTCCTTCCGATTGCCTTCAGCCATCTAATGTTAGCAAATTATAATTATACCTCAGTAGTTTGCACGCAGTGATAAGTATTTTATTTTTAGTAATATTTAGAGTAAAATTACTGCCAGCGACTGTACCCACTGTTGGAATTGTTTTTTAATTCATACTTTTATGATTTGTATTCATATAGTTTAATTTTCGTTCATTCATTTTTGTGTATCCAGAATTATTGGGCCTATTGGGCTTTTTTGGGGCTATTTCTTGAAAATGCACAGCACAATTAATAGATATTATTGTATAACTAAAAGATTGTCATAAGTCAGAGTTCGGATCAATGAAAATGATATAATTAAACATATACGAAGCAAGGTAACTAACTACACAGAAGATCGAGGTTCGATTTACTGTCGAGTCAATTCGAAACCGCCTACTTTTCATTAGGCAATAGTAAGCCTAGAGAAGAGGGAAAATTGGCCATGAGGCTAGAAACTTCAATCTGTAAAATTAACGCCACTGCTATTGAAACTTTAAAATATGGAGTCCAATGTTACACTCAAAATGCAAGAAATAAAATAATAGAAAAAAAGAATTTTATGGTTCCAATACAATCTCTTAGACTATCTACGTTGTTAGCTTTGAAATTAATCCACACATTTGTATTCCCCGGACTTTTTCTAACAGTTGACATTATACAAACAATCACCTGAACAGGAATGGGATACAATCTGTTCTGTTAAATATACTTTGTCAGGTACTAGTAGAATGATCATACTATCACATTCTTTAAGCAGGATAAATAGAGAAACTAGCAAGGTTAACGTAGATGATCACTGATAAGTGAGTGTGTGAAGTTTTATTCAAATGATTCACCTCGCCTCTTTATAAATGAAGGAGAAAAACAGTGAGAACCAGATACCAGTCAGGTCCCTACACAATATGGAGAATGCATACATTGAAGCATCTCTATATAATTAGAATCTCTAAAAGACACGAGTGCATTTCAACAAGATATTCTGCTTGAATATAATAAATGTCTAGGTGTTAAACTACAAATTACATCAAAATTTAGATTCAAAGGAATATTCTATAACAGTGGTTTCATGAGAGATTAGAGTATAGGACTTAAACAAACCAAAATCAATTACTCTGATAATCACCAAAAGTACCCATTAAGTCATGAAGAAAATAAAAGAAAATTCAGTGAAGAAAATTCTCTTTTGAATTGAATTCTTGATTTTCCCGTCGATTGATTGGACCGAAGTGTTCGGTCTCAGGTTGACATGTCGGCTTCTTGTGCAGATGCTTCGACGATGTCTGTTGATTTGATTTGTATACAATTGGTGGATGGTGGCTAGCAGTGGAATCCAGGATGCGCATTATTTCGTCCTATTTGGGACTCGTCAGCTGGATGTACCTGCATTTCTCAGTGAGTGATGATGTTCCCACCGAGGCTCGAACCCAGTGCCCATAGTTTCAAACGTCAAAGCGTTATCCACTAGACCACTTGGGCCACGAGAGCCACCTCTTGTGCAACGGGTCATATATTAATTATTGAATTGAATTCTTGATTTTCCCGTCGATTGATTGGACACTGGGTTCGAGCCTCGGTGGGAACATCATCACTCACTGAGAAATGCAGGTACATCCAGCTGACGAGTCCCAAATAGGACGAAATAATGCGCATCCTGGATTCCACTGCTAGCCACCATCCACCAATTGTATACAAATCAAATCAACAGACATCGTCGAAGCATCTGCACAAGAAGCCGACATGTCAACCTGAGACCGAACACTTCGGTCCAATCAATCGACGGGAAAATCAAGAATTCAATTCAATAATTAATATGACCCGTTGCACAAGAGGTGCCTCTCGTGGCCCAAGTGGTCTAGTGGATAACGCTTTGGCGTTTGAAACTATGGGCACTGGGTTCGAGCCTCGGTGGGAACATCATCTATCACTGAGAAATGCAGGTACATCCAGCTGACGAGTCCCAAATAGGACGAAATGCGCATCCTGGATTCCACTGCTAGCCACCATCCACCAATTGTATAAAAATTCTCTTTTCAAGTATTGGTTTTTGTAGGGATTTTGTTTGATTGCATGGAGGATTTAATCATGAGCTGACATCAGTTAGAGAATCACTGGAAAACCTGGGAGTACTGGACAGCTGTTTCGTCCTAGTTTGGGACTCTTAAGCAGTACGCACCCACCGGGATTCGAACCCAGGACCTTCTGGTTACAAGGCGAGCTACCCTGTAGACCATTGTGCCACTGGGACCTGATCCAATGGTCCTTGAATTCTAACTTCTGCCAGTTCACGACATAGCGCGACCACTTCGCAATGCCTTCATCAATGAGTTACTGCCTCATCTTCCACCTGCTGTACCCTACTGGTCATGGCTTTGCACTAGAACCCCGGGTTAACTGCCTGAATAGGTCCAGTCACTAGTGAGCATCAGATGAATTTTCAAGTATTGGTTTTTGTAGGGATTTTGTTTGATTGCATGGAGGATTTATCGACGAAATCATCTTCAGAGTCGGCTGTACAGTCGTATTTATATTTACCAACAATGTATATTAGTCCACTACTGAGTAATAAGTGAGGGGTGACATAACTGAAATAATCACTGAAATTTGTTTTAAAAGTTAAAATAAAAGTTATGAATTACGTAGTACTCAACAATGGTACAAAGGAAGAAAAGGTTAGAAATTTGAGCAGGTTAAAATCTTTATTGAGTGAGTAGAGAGGTGGTAGAGTGTCCATTTAATGGGTGTGCAGAGGATGAGGAAACGTACAAAAGGAACATGTGAGAGTGATTACAGTGAATTAATTACTAATAAAAGAAAAATTAAACTAATCATTTAGGATAAAAATAAAAAATTACAGGGAACGATCAATGAAGAGGTTAAGACCATGGTAGAATAAGAGACTGGACAAACATTTTCTGTATACAGAATTCGACGTTGTACTGACGAACTACCAACGCGGCAGGTTTCGGCATTTGTGCATAGTGGAGGTGTTAGCAATTGGTCAATACAACGCAGAACTCTGTATACAGAAAAAGTTTATCCAGTCTCTTATTCTATTTTGGTTTTAACCGCTTCATTAATCGTTCCCTGTAATTTTTATTTTAAATGATTAATTTGCTTTTGCTTTAATAGTTAATTCACTATTATCACTCACATAATATGTTCCTTTTGTAGACTTTCTCATCGTCACACCTGTTAAATGGACATTCAACTACCTTTCTTCTCACCTTATTAGATTTCTAACGCTTTCTTCCTTCGTGCTTTTGAAAATTACGCAGTTCATAACTTTTATTTTAACTTTTAAAACCAATTCTAAGTGATTATTTCAATTATGTCACCCCTCCCTTATTACTCAGTAATGGACAAATATACATTGTTGGTAAATCTAAGTACGACTGTACAACCTCTAAAGATGAATTTTCTTCTCTGAATTATCGTTTCCTCTAACAATGTTGTCTTGAGTGAAGGCATAGAAATTAATAATATTGAGGTAACTTTTAACCTTTCGGCTGACACAAATTGGAAATTGCCGTCACACTTTTTCATTTAACACACGAAACAATTGACATGAAGTGTGTCATGTAGTAGAATTACCAATAACTATGAATGCTACCGTACGTTTTCCAATCGATACATTGAACCGATTGAAGCTATACACTGCTCTTAATGTCTCAGGTGGAAGTAGTCGAAAAGGCTAGTAAAAACAAATGAACCGATTAAGTAATGTTAGATTGTAATGGAAGGGAATGAAACACGTTTATAATGAAGATAAGATTAAGGGATGATAAGAAAGGGGTCGAAAATATAAACAAGAGGTGGTGTAGCAGTCTTTAGTTGGTTATGTCTTATAAAGCCACGGGAGGGATAATGGCTGTACGAACTTTTTGAATGCATAGTTTAGGTTTAATAGTTCTAATGCCTATCGCCTCAGCTGTGTGCAGTAGACGAATACGAAGCCAATTGGAAAGATTCGGTAGGATAAGATGAATTACTTTGAAGGCTCTCGTTTTCTCCACTACATGACCACTATCAATAAAATGTAACAAAATTCACTTACGCATTGTTTTCGTCCGTCATTTACCAAACCACTATGGGAGATGTTCACTAACACGTTGGCTAGGCTGTCTAGTGATAAACCCATCATAACTGTCGCCGCAGGTACAGATTGCCTCACTTTTTCATCCTTATTATTGATAAAACCATTATTATTATCATCATCATTACTACCATTATGACTAATTGCACAAATTATATTCACCATCGTATTATCCTATAGACAAAACACCATGAGTGGTTTATATTTGAATTTTTATTTGTAAACTTATATAGGTATATTAGAGTCAAGCCTGATGATGTTCGTTTATATGTGTTGTTATAAATTTTACTATGGGAATATTTAATACATCTGTTATTGACCTTCAAACCATCGGTGAGCATTTCTCAGGGACAAAGAAGAAATATTTATAGGGATCGAACAGTACTGCATTGTGTGATACATTACAAATTGCTGTTTTACCTAAAGATTTTGAACAAACAGGAAATATTGTACAGTAAATCACACCGAGAATTCTGTTCACTGTCCAGAATAAAGACGTTATTTATGTTAATATATATTATAAATTACTTAACTCAATTTCTGAAATTACTGGCGACATCTTATTATTATTATTAATCGGCCATCTTGAGGCGTCTAATATTTGCTATAAAGCGTATAGAATTATAGTCATCTTTATTGTCAACTGATTCAGCTGTCTAATACTTTTAAGACAAAAAATGTGCATACGCCGCATAAATCTCAGTGAATACGGTTAAAATAAATAGCGGTGTTAAAAATATTTTCATACTCAGTTTGGTATATTATTTTTAGTTGAAAAATATGCAGAAGAAATGATTTATTAAGCTGGAAGTGTTTACAAAATTTGTTCCATTACCATAGATCAAATCAAGGATCAAGTTCATGCATTTCTCTAAGACCTTCTGGTTACAAGGCGAGCTACCCTGTAGACCATTGAGCCACTGGGACCCGATCTAATGGTCCTTGAATTCTAACTTCTGCCAATTCACGATAAAGCGCGACCACTTCGCAATGTCTTCTTCGATGGGTTACTGATGAAGAGTCCCAAACTAGGACGAAACAGCTGCCCAGTACTCCCAGGTTTTCCAGTGGTTCTCTAACTGATGTCAGCTTATGATGAAATCCTACATGCAATCAAACAAAATCCCTACAAAACCAATACTTGAAAATTTCTCTAAGACTTGAAAAAAATATCTAAATCGAACAAAGCATAGAATGGCAGTCAAGCCTCTACTTCAGTTGCCTAGACTACGAAGAGGCCTTCGATGGTATTGAACGTGAAGTAGTTTAGGAACTGCTGTCCCACAAATCTCTGTCAACCTCATACAACAACTATATATTGTGATGCCACATTTCAAGTAATCCACACCGGAAAAGTCAGTGAAGAAACCGTCGAAGGGAAGACAGGAGTAGGAGAAGACTGTCTGACTACTATCACCGATGATATTCTTGATTGTGGTAGGAGTGAATTATGAGGCGATAAGACAGAAATAAGTCGGACAGTGAAGAAGGCTGTAGGAAATCTGAACTTCGTGGAAGATTTATGTCTAATGTTACGTAAATTTTGAAGATGTACATGTGAAAACCAAAAAGGGACAAATACAGGGCTTCAAGTGAACATACAGAAAACAGAGATGATAAGGATAACCAACCAAACACAACAAACCCAATCACTACCAATAGGAGAAATTTGAAAGAGGTCAATTCCTTCACTTATCTACGAAGCATCAGTTTCAACTACAAGTGGACAATACGGAAGAAGATGTCAGAGCTAGTAAGGATTGAAAAGGCAAAACGCAAAGTCAATAATCAAAAAATGAATATAGAAATCTGCTGCACTCAGCAAAAACAACAAGATTTGGATTTTTAACACAAATATTAGTTTAATTAGCTCTTCTATATGAATGAGAAACTCGCGCTGCACATCACCAGAGGCAATTCAAACGCCTTCAGACAGAAATTCATCAACAGGTACGACCTTCACTAGCTCTATACTGAAGATCAGATGGCCAGCTGACCAGAAAGAATTAGCAGCAAGAAACTGAACAAATATATTGAAAAAAAATCGGTACAGAAGCAAAGGACACACTTTGAAGAGACCATTGAAGGACACTACGCATGAAGACAGCCCTTGAGTGAGACTGGGAGGGCAAGCGACGAGCTGGGTGTGGTTCCAAGGTTGGCTAGTGTGGGGTTAGCTTAAGAGGACCACAGAAAATAGGACATAGTGGAGATGGGCTGTTGAAGCCCTATGTTCCACTCGGAACCTTAAGGGAATAATAACAGTAATAATAATAAATCTCTAGAATATTAAGTGATGAGCATTATAGAACTGAGATCTCGAGCCATACTCTTTCACTTTGTCATTAAAACAAATAAACATTCACTTACTTCTGTTGTATATGTTTATTAATTGCTATCGGTTGAACATTGATCAGTTTTATTCCTTCATTGTTGGTGGTGGTGATGTTGACAGCAGTATTAGTCGTCGTCGTCGTTGTCGTAGCATCTGATTTCTTTTCACCATTCTGTGCAATATTTTCACAGTCGTCAGTATTATTCACCTGGGAATCATTTTCTGTTGAAGAGACAAAAATAAGTAATTAATGATTAGAAAAGAGTAAAAAATTACCATCAAGAAGTACTGGTGGCAGACTGTTCTTCGAATCCTCTTCTTCCATCATTATTGTTATTATTAGTATTAATTACAGCTTGTATATATGTGTGTACATTTAAAGATTACTTATATGCTTTTAGGGTAGAATTTGAAACAAACTAGTTGAGCATGCCTAGTGTTTTATGGCGTCAGTTGTTGCAAAAGCAGTTAGCTGCATTATAAGCTGTTATCGTAGGCGAATAATATTGAAGCATAATACCAAGTAATATGTATACTACCTAACAGTGATTTCAGTAGTATACAATGATGCACATTTAGTTTTGTGATTTCTTGGATTCTTATATACATCTAATAAATATAAATATGTATATTATTATATAGGATAGTAATCCTTTTGTTTTAAATGTTATTGTTAATTGTATTATATGTCTTCTTTATTTAATATAACTGTCAACGTGATCTTGAGATCTTAAATTTTTAAAATAGTTCAATACAGCTCAACACAGATCACTCTGTAGATGTGTGTATATTTTTGAAGAAAATCAAATAGTTCACATTTCACAGTCTTGTTTATTTCTCAATGATGCTTTTTCATTGTAAAAGTATATTCTGAACACTAATAAGAAAGAGGTAAGGTAAGGTAATGAAAGGTATAATGTACATATGTATCTATACATATATATTTATGCCTACTCTAAATACCCCATTATATGTATGTAGTGAGGACTATTCATCAAGATGGAAATCTCTCCCACTTCACATCTATCTTCTCCCTCTCTCTCTCTCTTTCTGTTCTATATATCAATACGATTTCCTTTTCTGTTTGCTTTCTACAATCTTTCTCCCAAAGAGGTATGGGCGGGGATAAGATAGGATAGGATGGGATAGGACAGGATAAGAGAGGATATGATAAATGATTTCCCTTTTTCCTCATCTAACCCATACGTACTCACTCATACACACACACACACCTATTAAGGCAATATATACATATATGCCTAATGACCAATAATATTTTGATTGTATATATATATATATACTGGGATAAATAACAGACAGGTTGTCATGACAGCGTAGTAATAATGTATATAAATGTTTGTTTCCTTGGGAAAATGTGTACATACAGGCATGAACATCTTGTTACAAGACTTCTCTTTCTTAAGTAAACACTGTTCTGTCTCACACACACATTATAGTACTTGCTAAGGTGAAACAAAATGGAGATTTGGGACGTAAGAGATTAAGCGTAGACAGCTAATGTTGGGAGATTTTAAGTATAAAGTGATATTAGATTAATAATGTTATATATATATATAAACTTACAGACACTCAAAATGGTTGGTGATTTTAATAACATTTGTTTACACAGCAAAAGTTGAATGTTTTCAAAAGTTATTTTTTCGTAGGAGTTTGATTTGTTTCCAGTTTAATAACTAGGTGATATCGGTTAGAATACAACTGGTGAGTCAGGGAGTACTGAATAGCTGTTTCCCCTCCTAGTTTAGGACTCTTTGGAATTACGTATCCACTGTGGCTGGAACCTGGAACCTTCAGAACGCAAGTCAAGTTTGGAAGCCGTTTACGCACTACTACCCTACGAAAGAGCCTATGAATTCCAGCTACTACTAGTTCGTGCTAACTAATCTGATGCTCGCTAGTGACTGGCCAAGGGATAAAATTGTCTGGATCTCCAGTGAGAAGTTAGGAGTGTGACGACTAATGGTTGCCGATGACACTGGCTTGTAGTCGTGCTAAAATCACGAATTGGTAGAAGTTGGAATTGGTGGGCAATAGGATCGCGTCCCAATGAATAAATGGTTTATGACCTTGCCGTGTAACCCGAAAGGTTCTGTGTTCGAATTTCAACCGGCGCGTACCATTAATGAGTCGCAAACTAGAACATATGGGATGACATTGGGAGCACCGATAACCCTGAAGGTTTCAGAGATATTTGTGTATAGCTGGGAAAGTAGGTTCTTTTAGAATGTTTAATCTTGGTCCCACTTGATGGTAGAGATATACAGGTAACACATTCAGCATATTGAAATCTGAGCATATCCTTCAGTTCTTTTCCACACATATAAACTCAGTGTTCAGAAAATAAGCAGGGTAAGTCAGATATGCAAGAGTGGGAAATCAAACGAAAACAGGATGATGGGTTAGGTATTAGCATCTATAAAAAACTGACACATCCTGGTATATAATTGGGCCTTTATTCATGGCATTCGAAATCACTAAAGGTAGGTTAAGCATTTATATAATCCATTTAAGAACCTAACTAGTAAGTCAGAGGACGGAATTCAACTGATAAAGAAAACATTAGCACTGAATAACTACCCCCCACAGTTTATTAAAAATTGCATGAAGACGCATAAGGAAAATAAGAGAAATAATGAATATGATGGAAATAATACAAATAATAAGGAATTTAAAGCCGCTCCAATACTGCCATATAAATAAGGAACATCAGAGGCTCCATGTAGGAATCCTAGTGAGACTGAAAATAGGGAGACATTTAAACCAACCAGCTCACTCAGCAACAAACTCCGTGCAATTTAGGACCTGATAGATACATTTAAAAACAGAATAATGTAATTCACGAGGAAATATGCAATGGCTGTGAGGTCAACTACATAGGTCATACCAGTAGATCATGGTCAATCAGATTATAGGAAAATATGAATGTAGCTAGATCCAGAATGATTTACCTTGCTACGTTAAATAAAACTCAGGTATTGGAATTCATTCACTTGAATTTCATCACCAAATAAGTTTGAACGGGACGAGAGTATCAAAAATTGACATAACATATAATATGTACAAGCAACAAGTTGGTAGAAGAAGCATCAACTTCAAGTGAACATAGATAAAACAGAGGTGATGAAGATTCCTGGCCAACATCAACAGCAACAACAACAACAGACGACAATCAGCATAAGTGGGAGGAACCTGAAAGAAACAACCTCCTTCACCTACCTGAAAGCATCGTCTCAACTACAGGCGGAACTGACGAGGATATCAAAGCCAGAATCTGAAAAGCAAGAAAAGGTTTCATTACTCTCAAATCTGTGTGGAGGTCAACAGTACTCAGCATCTAAAACAAGATCCGGATCTTCAACTCCAATGTAAAGTCAGTGCTGCTATACGGATCAGAGACTTGGCGAGTCATAAAGAGCATCTCAAACAAACTTCAGACCGTCATTAACAGCTCTCCTCGCTCAATACTCAAGATCAGATGGCCGGTCAGAAAAGATCAGCAACAGGGATCTCTGGGAATGAACCAATCAGGAACCGATTGTGAAACAAATAGGCAGGAAGAAATGGAGATGGATTGGCCATACTCTGAGGAAACCATCAAGTGACATCACTAGACAAGCCCTCGAATGGAACCCGAAAGGGAGGCGGCGAGTTGGTCGTCAGTGCAAGGGTGACTTGGAGGAGGTCATGCGAGGAGGAGATGAAAGCATGTGGACAGACCTGGAGCGTTGTGAAAAAGTTGTCAGAAAACAGAAAGCAATGGAGGTGCGCAGCTGAAGCCCTATGTTCCTCTAGGAACTAAAGGATACACTAATAACAATGATAATAATATGTACAATAATAACACTGTGAAGATCATGATTGTCAATTTTCACACTGAGCACACTTTCATTCCGTGAACAGAGTGAAAATCGAAGCGCCTTATTTTCACACTGTTTCTCAGTTGGTAATCATCAATCCAAGTGATCAGTGAGCAGTTAATCTCATCGACAATAGAGAAGATCTGTAGCTCAGGTGGATGATTTCTAATTAGTTGTGTTCTATAAGCCTGTTGCTTTAATTTCGCAGCTTTCGTCGTCCTTCTGGACAACATCTTCAGCATAAGTTTTAGCATAAAATAAAAACTGCGCTGAAGATGTTGTCCCGAAGGACGACGAAAGCTTCGCAATTAAACCAACCGGCTCAAGGAACACAACTAATTGATAACCTCATCGATGTTAGTATCTGATCTTTTGAAGTGATAAAAGTCTACCTCTTATCTTGGTTTATCTGTTTTCGTATCCGCTAATAAACGTATTTCTCATTTAAAATGAATGCAGCAAAACGACTTGTCAGAAAGTGCCTTCTGAACAGTCTATTTACAGTGATGTTGCTTATCTGAATGCTTCACTTAATTGCGTAATTATTATTACTGCCTTTTCCTTGACTTACATATCATCGTTCCAATGTATACATAAACCTCTCCTAGATTAGTAGCTCACTAGTTTTCTTGCCGGTCCAAAGCCCGGATAAAGAGGGAGGGTTGGGGCGTGGTGCTATCAACTCCAACCCCGTAAAACAACCAAATCGCTACAGAAACTTCAACGCGCAAATATATTAAAAATCCTAAAAATATAAACAATAGCCTTATTTTTCACGGGAATCGGAGAAGTGAAATGACGCAGGCTGGTGAAAGCCTTCGGGAAGCCAGTCAGCCGATGTGCCTTCTTTCGATGAAAGCAAAAGTAAGGATGGGTACCTGGAATGTTCGTACAATGTACGAAACTGGAAAGGCTGCCCAGATAGCCGCTGAAATGAGAAGGTACAGAATAGAAGTGTTGGGAATCTGAGAAAGCAGATGGAACGGAACTGGAAGGTGCCAACTACCTACTGGAGAGACAATAATCTATTCCGGCCACCCAGAGGACAACCATGAGCACACCGAGGGAGTGGCCATCATGATGTCACCAACAGCAACCAAAGCTCTCATGCAGTGGGAACCAATCTCCTCCAGGATAATGACAGCCAGGTTCAACTCAAAAGGAAGGAAAGTTACAGTCATTCAATGCTATGCGCCTACAAACGTCTCAGAACAAGAGAAGAAGGAGGCGTTCTACAGACAACTACAAGCAATAATGGACAACGTCCCAAATGGCGATATCAAAATCCTGATGGGCGACATGAATGCGAAGCTGGGAGGAGACAACACAGGAAGAGAACTCACCATGGGTCGTGAGGCCCTCGGTGAAATGAACGACAATGGTGAACTCTTCTCAGACTTCTGCGCCTTCAATGATTTGGTGATTGGTGGCAGTGTGTTCAAACACAAGGATATACACAAGACGACATGGATTTCACCAGATGGAAACACCAAATACCAAATAGACTTCATCTCAATTTCAAGAAAGTGGAGACGGAGCCTACTGGACACAAGGTCAAGGAGAGGAGCAGATGTGGGTTCAGACCACTATCTAGTACAAGGGACTTTCAAGGTGAAACTAAAAGCCTCGAGGATAGCTGGGGATAGGCCACAATGCAAGTTCAACACTCAATTACTGAAGGACACAACCACAAAAGACACGTTCACTGCAACTGTCAGAGCAAAGCAGGAAACACTACGCGACATCACTGAAGAATCATGCGTGGAAGAACATTGGAAGTCTCTGAAGGCGATTCTCAACGAAACGTGTTCAACGGTTCTAGGAAGAAAGAAGAGACAAGACAAGGAATGGCTCTCAACGGACACTTGGAAATTAATAGAAGAGAGGAGAATGGTGAAAGAGAAAATGATTCAATGCAAGGACGGACAGGAGAAGGAGACGCTGAGCTCAACTTACACAGCACTGGACAAAGAAGTGAAGAAGAGTGCTAGGAAGGACAAAAGACGATTCTACGACAACCTAGCCACTGAAGCTGAGAAGGCAGCAGGCAAAAGGGACCTGAGGACACTATATCAGATAACCAAATCTCTATCCGGGAAGAGACCAACACAAGCGAAACCTATAAAAGACAGCCAAGGGAACCCAATTACCAAGGAAGAAAAACAGATTAAACAATGGGCGGATCACTTCAAAGGACTCTTGAACCGACCATCACCTGCAACCCGTCCAGAAATACCAACAACAGCGCGCACACAACTGCAAGTTGACA